TGGGTCCCTAACAGCAGAGCACAGGAAGTGAGGCAGGAGTCTCCAGACCTGCTTTCTGGGGGAAGCCCGACCAGCCTCTGGCGTGGAAGGTCCTGATAAGGCTGTGTTAAAGTTAAATGCTACAGCCAGCCCCAAGACCTAGTGGTTAAGGACCCGGATTCCACACAGCCCTCTACACTAACTACACTGTTGGAATCCTGACTTGGAGGCTATAAAAACACACCAGGCACCTATATGTGCATAGTCAAGATGCCAGCAGGAAAGACAAATAGAGAAGGGATTGCGGTATGACCACGCCCCAGTAGAGGGTGCTTTCTCTCTGTGTGTGTCTGTCTGTCTGTCTCCCTCTGGCATGCACCCTCTGGCAATTAAAGAAGAAAAGGGAGGAAGTATTCAAGACTAGAGGTTCAGGCCTCTCTTTGGGTCTCCAGGAGACCTGAAGGAAGATAGAGCCCCAGCCCTGACGCCACTCCCAGGCTGACCTCCTGGCCCCTCAGGCTCCAGCCAGAGTCAGGCCTGTGTGTCCTAGGAGATAAAGGGCACAGCTAACAGGGCCATGCGCCTGACCCCAGGCCTTGCTGACTGGGTGCAAATATCCCGTCCCATCCTGGGCAGAGAGACTGGCTACTGGGCCGGCCGGCTGGGCTTCATTCCTGTGGTGAGGAAGTCTGACGGTCTGTCTACAACACTCAGCAAAACCTGCACATCTGCCTCTCCCCTCCCACCGGGGCTCCTTCGTCTTTCTTTAAGCTCCTTACTTTTACGGTTGCAAGTGCAATTGGCTACAGTCTGGCCAAGCCGCACAGCTTTGTACCTGGCAGCAGGTCCCATTTCCTCTGCCGAGGACAACCAATAGCCTAGGCTAGAACGAGCTTAATGGCGTTTGCATGATTCAGACGGTGAGCTGGTCCTTAAACGGGATGGCGCTGTTGCGGTTATTGTTAAGCAGGGTGTTTATTTCAAGGAACCCTCTTGTTAGTGTATTTGGTCCTTATAAAAATTCCAAGGTCAGGGCCAGCAAGTGGTGCAATGCGTAAGGTGCTGGACTCCCACATAGTCAGCTGTGGTTCGAGTCCCAGACTGGCAGCTTAAATTCACACCAAGCGCGTGTGCGTGCATGCCAAAATCCTAAGGGGAAAATGAAGGAGAAAGGGATTGCGGCATGGCCATCCCCACCTGGGGGTGATTTCTTGCTTTTTGTCTCTCTGGTGCGTGCACATGCCCTGTGGCAAAAATCTCTCTCAAAAAGAAAAAAACAATTCCCAAGGTCAGTGGGACCAGTGGTGGTCTCACTGCAGGTGAAGTCACTGTGGTGCAGACCTGGAACAGCACGAGCTGCAAAAACACTCTGCGGAATCACTGCAGACACCTAGCTCTCAGCCCTGCCGTGCCACCTGTGCCCCACGCTGCCTCAGGGTCCAGCACTGCCAGGCCCCGAGAGTGGCTGCATGAGATCCTGTGGGCAAAGGTCTCCTCATTCCCCCGGGCAGGCAGTGGCAGGTGCCGTGTGTTCCGGATCACACATCCTTTCTGACTGGGACCCTCTCGGGCTTTCTGTTTGGACAACTCGAAGGCAACCACTTCATTTGGAAGGCAAATCCTGAGCACAGATTAAGATCGAAGTCGTGAGTTAACTCTTCCCCAGATGCAGACCTCAGCTAAAGCAAGGCAGTGTCTGTGAGAGAGCCCAGTGCGATCCTGTGTCAGAACAGAGCCAGGTCCTTTGTGTCCTTGGAGCGTCCCGTGACAGGCAGCATGGAGGCTGGCATGGGAGCCTCAGAGAGCTGGGCCTTGCCAGCCTTGATCACGTCTGCTTTCCCACAGTTGTAACGGTTCAGGCACCCAGTAGGCACTCAGGAAGCACTTTTTTAAAAAAAAGAATTATTTAATTTTATTATATTTTTTTAAAACTTTGACCAGAGAGAAACAGAGAAAGCGAGAAAGCAAGCCACCAGGTCCAGGTCTCAAACCATGGTCAGCTACGTGGGAGGCTAGCACCTTAACTCCACCTACTGGCTCTGCTCAGGAACTACTTGAGGAGTGGATGAATGCTCGATTTCACTCTTCCTGATGGTCAAGTTCACTCTTTTCAGGCACAATTGATAAGCTATCCTGGCAGGTGGGAAGGGGACGTGCACTGAGGGAGGTCCTCCGTTGACCCACCACCTTGATCCCATTTCACCCTCACGGGGACTCTCCGAGGTAGGAGAGCTTCAGAGACAGAAACTCCGAGGCTCAGTCTTGCTGCAGATAATACACTTTGTAAAGTTAGTAACTGGTAGGCCTGGCCGACTCTAGGTGCTCTCCTGTCCACACTGAGCCCCACCGACAGCCTCCCGAGGCCCTTGACAGTTTCCACAGCACTAACCCTGCCTTGTCTGCAGGGCCGCCATCTGCACGTCCCGCTAGCTGTGCACTGCAAGTGGCCTGTGCGTCCCACCTCAGCACACTCTACTGCAGCAGACGAGCAAGACCCATAGTCACTGTTCTGAGAGGAGTGAGGAAAAGTGTGTGTGTGTGTGTGTGTGTGTGTGTGTGTGTGGTGTGCACATCAAGCCTGGATTCCAAAGGCAGGTGGGAATGAAGTGTTCATTAGTTCGTTAATTACTGCACGCACAGCTTCCTGGTGCAATCAATTTGAAAATAGAAACAATGCAATATTTGTCTTTCTAGTCTCCGTGGTCGATACAATTCCCAGCACTCAGTAGATCTTCATGCACACTGGCTGGATGGACTTGTGGGACTTTCATGTCTGTCATGCTGGCCAGTCTCTGCTCGAAAGGAAGAAAAACCCAACATTGACTGCCCAGCCAAGGAGCTGCACTCTTCCTAATGCTCTTGCACGTTTAGCTAGCCAGGTTCCCACAGGTGCTTTATCTTACTCGTCTTGCCCCCAAGGGGGAGGCAGACATCACTCTCAGGCTAGCAGACAAAAAATCTAAGGCAGAGAAGTGGCATGGTCTGGCCAGGTCCTCAGAGCTGCTACATGGCAGAGGCAGAAGCAGACGCTGGTGCCGTTGGTTCTTTCCAGCAGCCCATGCTGTCTCCTACCCTGTTCTCTCCATCTCCGCTAGATAGGGGGACCTCTGTACCCCTGCAGAAGACAAGCATTGAATAAACCAAACGGTGGCTTGAGTTTGCAACCCCGCAGCAGCATCAGCCTACACAACCCACACGCTTGTATAGACACTTATGGAAGTGACTTACAAACAGCACCAGGAAGAAGTCCCACATACAGAAGGATTAGAACTCAAGGGAAATTTGCTTTTCTCTATTTCTTTTGAAATTAAGAAGCGGGACCAGCAAATGGCATAATGGTTACATCACTGGACTCTCATGTAGTCAACTGCAGTTCAAATCTCTGATCCGGCAGCTTAAAACTCATGATGACTCAAGAGGAGAAGGGAGGAGAAGGGATTGTGGCGTGGCCATCCCCCCCAGGGGGGGATGATTTCTCACTTTCTTTCTCTCTCTGTGTCTCCAGTGAGCACACACACCCTATAGAAACAAACAAACAACAACAACAACTCTTTAAAAAGAAAAAGAAAAGAAATGAAGAGGAGGCTTGTGCAAGCACAGACCATTCTGCAGTGTGAAAAGGCCTACTTTTCCGAGGCGTTCCTGGCAGAAGGTGGCTGGCAGCTCTCAGGAATCTAGGTGGGAAGAAAACCTGCAGCTGTTAATCTGCTGTCGCCCTGTAGGAATGTGAGCTGGCAGCCCAAAAGGTCAGGAAGGACACCTCAGGTTGATTCCCCCGGGCAGCTAATGTTACCCGGGACAACTCTGCTTGCTGTGTTGTCACCATGGATGACCTCTGGTCCCTGTCCCAGGTATGTGTGAGCCACAGGGGAGCAGTTCTTCAGCACCAGCGTTAAATTGCTTTCTAAAGTCAGATCATACTGATTATGTGTGAGGCAGCTGGAAGACCTGGCAGCCCAGCCACCCTCCCAATGGGGCGGTGAAAGTGTCGTTATCAGGAGGATGAGAGAGACCACACTACCAACCAAGGTCTGAGTCCCAGCCCAGGGGATGTACCAGGTGTGTGCATGCATGCCCAAAAAACTCAACAGGATGGAGAAATGGAGGACAAGGGGTTGGTGTGACTCTGCCCCATTGAGAGGTGTTCTCTCTCCTCTCCTCTCCTCTCCTCTCCTCTCCTCTCCTCTCCTCTCCTCTCCTCTCTTTCTCTGCTCTCTGGCAATTAAAAAAAGAAAAGAGAACAGGCTTGCTATCAGTGCCATGAAGCCATTCACAGGAGTCGAAGTCCCGATCTATCGATCTATCGTAGATCCCTAAGGGAAGAGAGGTTCCGGGAGAGTGTCTGGACTGATGTAATGACGTCCCAGGCTACTCCCCCACCGCCAACCCTCCCTGCTGCTCTCTGTAGAAAGCACAGGTTTCAATCATCCCAAGGTTTTTGTAAAATGACCTCATTTTCCTGTGAGTCTGCCAAGTTTTCCATGTGTCAGAGAAGGGTAGGGCCAAGAATCATTCTAGAAATGATGATGACCTGTCAAAAAGTAGGAATTTTTGCCAAAGAAAAAGGAGAGGAGGAGCAGACAAGGTATATAGAGGAGATGCTGACAGAATCGTTCTTGATATGCATCTCCCCCTGCAGCCAGGAATAATGGCTCTCACTTGTTTCCAAAGCCTCCTATGCAAATGTCAGTGCCGGCACCTATGCAGGGCTACTGCACGGCCCAGCTTCAACCAGTCACATCCACTGTAATGCCAGGACCTCCATCTCAGGAGGGTGGGGGTGGTGAGACGTGAGACCCCCAAGGACAGCAGGGACGCATAGCCGGGGGCCTCAGGGTATAACCCTAGGCTCCTTACTCAGGCTGTTCTGTATCCACCCTTGACCTCTCTGCAGAGTTCAGCATTGTGGGGCGGTTGAAAGCACTTGGCCTTGGCAGTGGACAGAGCTGAGTTTGGTTCCCATCTGCTTCATCCCTAATGGACTGTGGGCAGACCCACCACCCACATCGGCAGGACCCAGGCAAGGACACCAATGAAAGCTCCACAGCATCATCTCAGAGTTACAAAAAATACGTAGGGCTGGCCCGTAGCACCGTGGTTAAGCGCTGTGCAGAGGAAGCAGGATCCCACATGGCTGACAAGGTTCGAATCTCAGCCATGGAAGTAATACGTTGGATGTGTGTGCCCAGGATCCTGATTGGGATAGAGAAATGGGGGAAAAGGGATTGTGGTATGGCCAGGCTCCATCGGGCGGAGAGCGGAGGGCTAGGGAGGGGTGCTTTGTCTCTTCTTCTCTTCCTCTCTCTCATGTTCAAGCACATGCCCTCTGCCAAAACAAAAAAAAGCAGAATAAAAATTACTAGACTAAACTGCTTTTTTAAAAATTTACTTATTTTACATACTTTCCCCGAACATCACAACAGCATACAAAATGTGACTTTTCTGCCAGAAAACAATGTAAAGTGGCTTAATCATACATGTATTATCAATAAATAATTTTCCATTTCTTGTTTCTTGTGTGTGTATATATATTCTGCCCCCATATTTCTCACCCTCTGCCATTTCCCATCCTCCTCCCACCCTGTCTCTGGTATCTGCAGTTGCTTTCCATTCCTTTATTCTTTCCCATATTGTATTGATTCACAAACTATCTTAATTAATCTAAATACTTTCAATAGTAAGTTCAGCTGATATGTACATATCCATAAACAAAAGTAAACTTTAGGCATGAAACTCTGTGGGCAGAATATCAAAATCAAAACATGTTAAGAGAACTTTGCTGAGTACTTAAAGCCAGGAAACAGGTTAGGATTCTGTTCGAATAGTAGTACACGAACCTGCCCACAACTCGAGAGAAGACAAAACTCCTCAACTCTGGAAAACAAAGCATAGAAGGTCAGTAATGCTTTAGTCAAAAGTCATACAATTCTATTTCACCAGTTCAAGCTCACGTACTTTATCTTCTGTCGTGGACTGATGTTTCCGTTTAAATTCTGGAAGATAACGTTCAGCTCTGGACTTGTCCCTACCATTAAGCTGGCCATTTTCTTAGTTGTTTTAGATCTCTTATTTCTGTGTGTCCGTATCTAGTTTTCCTGGGGTAGTACTCCCTTCAGAACTTCTTGGAGAGCTGGTCTGGTGTCGGTAAATTCTTTCAGGTTTTGTTTATCTGAGAATGTTCTTGTCTTCTCTTCCCATATGAAGGATAATCTTGCCGGATATAGTGTTCTTGGCTGAAATTGTTTTTCACTTAACACTTTGAATGTATTCTTCCTTGCTCACATTGTTTCCAATGAGAGGTCTGCTGTTAGCCTGATGGGATATCCCTTGTAGGTAACTTGCCGTTTCTCTCTTGCCAGTCTGAGTATCTTGTCTTTGTCTGTGGTTTTGGTCAGTCTGACTATAATGTGTCTTGGAGAAGATCTTCTTTGGTTGATCCTTTTTGGGTCCTTCGTATTTCTTGGGTCTAGATCTTTGAATGCCTCTCTAGGTTTGGGAAGTTTTCTTCCAGGATTTCATGGAATAGATCGTCAGTGCCCTTATTAGTCTCTTCACCTTCTGGGATACCGATGATCTAGATGGTTGGATGTTTAACGGTATCTAATATTTCTCGTATATTATTCTCATTTTGGAGGAGTGGCTATTTTCTTAGTCTTCATGGTGGATTTTACTAGTCCAGTGATTCTGTCTTCTACATCTGAGATTCGATTTTCTGTATGATCTAGGCTGCTTTTAATACTTTCAAGGGAGGTTTTGGCTTCCTGTATTATAGCCTTCATCTCTAACACGTCCATTTGATTCTTTTTTATGGTGTGTATTTCCTCTTTCAGCTCTCACAAGAACTTCCTCAGCTCTTGGAACTCATCGGCTTTTTTATTCTGGTGTTCATTGTTTTTCAGGTTTTACCCTCCAAGTGTGACCAAGTTATCTTCATAACACAAAAGGCAGGCTTTGAGTTACAATTCTTGTCCTTGGAACTCTGCACTGATACCATAGAATGTGAAGACCCAGTTTCCTGCCTCCTGTCCTATATACATGCCCAGTTCTCCCTTCTCTTCCTGCCCCCTTCACCCCACCTCTGTCCTGCATCATAGGGGCCTCACCCGCACGTATACAGACAACTAGCTCACAAACCCCTGCAAACACCACCCCCTCGGCCACCCCCAAGGCCAGAGGCTGTGTGTACTAACATCCCAGCCCACGCTTAGGATTATGGACCCAGAAGACAGGCCTGTGCAGGCCTTAAAAGAAGATAGGGGCAATATGGACAGAAATTCTGGAATCTCAAGTACCTGAAGCATTGTCTGGTCAGAGTGCCAGAGATATGCTCTTGCTGGCCATGTCTTCTTGTCCCTGGACTTTTTACCACTTGGAGAATGGTGTGGCCAGAGGAGGGCCAAAGCAGAGCCCTCTGAAGCATGGAGGCCCTATCAGCAGCCTCTCTTGCCCAGGGGTAAGAGATACCACATGCAATTTAAGGCAACCATTCATCCATTCATTTCCTTGCCCATCAAAATAGAGCCATCACAACCTATTTTTTTAAGGTTGTTTTGATGGTCAAACAAGATAACTTTATGCTAAAAACCAGGCACACAGTAGGTGCTCAGTAAATACTCCTTTTCTTCTTTGGCCCTGATCTTCCTGGTCCTTGCCTTTCCTAACCTCGTTCACCCCACCCACCCCACTTTGTCCCCCTTTCTTTCCTCTCAGAAGCTCAAGGGACTTGATGTGGCCTGCCTTACTGCAGTGTCCCTGAGGAGGAACTGCCATCTTCGGCTGCAGAGAAACCACGATGGAGCTCTTTTTCCATTTAGAAAGCATTCTTGGGTTCTCTGATTGTAAGGCAGAGAAGATAGCATGTTTACACAGTGACTTAGAAACCTCATACTACTCATTTGCTTGCTAATGAGAAGTTTGAGAGAGGCTTTTGAGTCCCAACCAAAAACTCATGGCTTTTCAAAACTTGGCAGAAATTTGATTTCCTGTGAGATGTCAAAATATGCCACTGAGCATAACTCGTCTGGGTTCACTTTTTTTTTTTTTAGGTTTTTGCCATAGGGTGTATGCACTCACCAGAGACAGAGACAGAGAGAGAGAGAGAGAAACCACCCTCCCGGGTTGGGAATGGCCCACAATCCCTTCTCCTCCAGTCTTCTCCTGGGATTTTGGGCACACATGCACATGCACCCAGTGTGATTTTCAAGCTGCCGGGTCTGGGACTTAGCCATGTGAGAATTCAGCACCTTCACCACCATGCCACCTGCTGGCCTCTTGGGTTCACATTTCATCTTATCTGGTTTAGAAATGAGCAAAAGATTCCTTGGTGCGACCCTCAGCAGAAATACACCAGCTCTCCATCTAGGATGAAGGTAGATTCCCTTGAGGGATTCAGATGCTGTCAAGTTCAGGTCGTTTTTTGTTTTGTTTATATCGTTGAATTGCTTTAAATATGTAATTCTTTAAAATTTAGTTAATTTTACTTATTCTTATCATAATCTTGTTTATAATACATTGAATCACATATATCTTTTTTTTTTTTTGGAGAGATTTTTGCTATAGGGCGCATGTGCTCGCCAGACCGACAGAGAGAGAGAGACAGAGAGACAGAAAGCGAGAAATCACCCCCCGGGGGCGATGGTCACGTCGCAATCCCTTCTCCTCCATTCTCCTCTTGGGATCTTGGGCATACACGCACACGTGCCTGGCATGAGTTTTAAGCGGGTCTGGAACGCGAACCACGGTTGACTACCTGGGAGTCCAGCGACATAGCCATTACGCTAACTGCTGGTCCCACACCTCTCTATTCTTTTGCTATCCTTCTTATACTCTTCCCGTCTCCCGCTCTGTTTCACACTGTCTTCAGCATCCCTTACAATTTTCACTGCTTTTGTGCCCTCCAATATTTTGATCTCTACCATAAGTTCAGATCATTTTTCAAAGCTCTCCTTTTCTTTAAAAAGTCCCTTGAGGGAAAGCCTCCCCATCTCCTCTTTGCCCTCTTCCTCTGCCTTTATGAACGTCACTGCTGCCCAGATGCAAGAGCAGGGCGATGTCTCTAAGGGTTGCGAGAGGATGAGAGCTTAGGCTTAGTTCCTTGAAACCCGAGTTGGAGGTCCCGTGGGTCTGGTCTCCCATCAGCCTGTTCCCCAACCCCAAATCCCACTCCCAGGACTTGTGTCTTTGAGGCTGGGGTTACTTAGAGAAAAAGATCTTTGAAATCTTGCTTCTCCTTCTGCACAAGTTATTAAGGAATAAAATTTGATCTCACCTCCTTGAACTTGTCTGTTACTCTTTTGCACGGGTTAAGATCAGGATGAGAGAACCAGGATTTCTCTATCTGGAAGGAGTGGCTGAAAAATGAATAAAACAGTGAAGTGCTTTCCTATCGTGAAATGCTTCCCATGAGTGGAGTCAATGCATGTTTTCCTCCAACCTTTTCCCAGTTCTGCATTCATCTTTTCTCATCTCAAGAAAACACGTGCCTTGGAGCTAGATGTCATAAAAGCAACTGATGGTCTTCCCTAGCTCGATTCTGTTCATTCAGCAAATACTGTACAGAGTACCTACTGGGTATATGGAGGGGTGTCCGCCTCCCGGCTGGGGGCCTCATCCACAGCTCTGGTCCCAGGTGCTCCTGACCTCTGTCTTCCCAGTACCACTAACAGACCCATCTGTCCCCACTGACAGTCCAATAGAAAAAGCAGGTAGTACCCCTTTTCACACCTCACCATCGACCTTCAGGTGACACTGTAGCTCTTCACGTGCAGAATGAGGGTGTCACCACAGGACGGCTCCACTCCACCATGCTCTCCTCGGTGCTGCTGTTGTCACACATTTTACTTGATATGGTGACTTAAGGCACTTTTACTTCCCGGTTGTCAGAGGGTGCATGCACTCACCAGAGAGAGCCAGAGAGATGGACAGACAGAAATCCCCCCACCTCGATAGGGCATGGTCACACTGCAATCCCTTCTCCATGCTGTCAGGATTTGGGGCAGGAGCACGCACGTGCACACACACATTTCTGGCATGTTTTTCTTTTTTTCTTGAGCGAGTTTTGCTACAGGGCACATGCACATGCTGAAGAGGCAGAGAGAGACAAAGAGAAAAATCACCTCCCAACGGGAGTAGCCATGTCACAATCCCTTCTCCATTCTCCTCTTGGGATTTTGGTCACACACACATATGTGCCTGGCATGAGTTTCAAGCTACCAAGACTGGGTCTCGAATCATGGTCAACCACGTGGGAATCCAGTACCTTAACCACTTTGCCACCTACTGGCCCTCTGGCATGTTTTTCAAGCAGCTGGGGCCAGGATTAGAACTGTGGTCTACCATGTGGGATCTGCTGCCTAAACCACTAGATAACAAGGCTGGCCCCACTATATTTCTGCATACTTTATAAGCTCCACACTGCATTATCATCTTTGCTGAAATCAGCCACATCTCTTGTAAAAAGATTTAAATAATTAAACTATGTTATTATTTAGCCCTAGCCATTAACATTTATGGTATCATTCATTCCTTTCTTTAAGTCTATATTTCCATTTTGGGTCATTTTCCTTCTGTCCGAAGATCTTCCTTTAACATTTCTTAGACTACAGTTCTGCAGGTGATGGCTTCTGGTAGTTTCTGTATGTCTGAGTTTTTGTTTCACCTTCGATTTTGAAAAAATATATACATTTTTTTTGGGGGGGGAGAGGTTTTCGCTATAGGGCGCGTGCGCTCGCCAGACAGACAGAGAGAGACATAGAGACAGAAAGCGAGAAATCACCCCCCAGGGGGGATGGTCACGCCGCAATCCCTTCTCCTCCATTCTCCTCTCGGGATCTTGGGCACGCACGCACACGCACCCGGCGTGAGTTTTAAGCCACCTGGTCTGGGACGCAAACCGCGGTCGACTACGTGGGAGTCCAGCGACATAGCCATTATGCTAACTGCTGGCTCCTGAAAAAATATTTTTGCTATAGCATTCCAGATTGACAAGATCCCCCACCCCTGTGCCTACTTTCCAGTTCTTTAGATACGTTGCCCTACTCTGATATTGTTTCAAATACATGCAGATATACACACAGAGAAATACACGCATGTATACACACATACCTGTACATACATATATACACATATGCATACACACACACACACACACATATAACTGCTGTCATTCTTCTCTGTTCCTCTGCACAGAATTTGTCTCCTTTCTTTGGTTCTTTAAAGAGTTTCTCTTTGGGGGGACGAGCAGTTAGCGTAATGGCTATGTTGCTGGACTCCCACGTAGTCGACCGCGGTTCAAGTCCCGGACCTGGTGGCTTAAATTCACACTGGGCGCGTGTGCGTGCG